GATTCGTAGTTGAAAATACAAACGTTTTTAGGTTTACGATGCTTATTTGCATTTTCTAGTAAAATAGATTCTGAATGTCCATAGAAAATACTTCACTTTTGCCGATTTGAACGTTTCTTCAAGGCCAATACTAACTGAGATAGCTATTGAGTGAAATATAACCAATCACCCTGTAACACCATTTGGCCAAAGAATGGCCTGACGTATCAGAATATACTTACACATAAAAAATACTAAACAAAAAAATGGGATCCTTTTAACCATAGAAACATTTTTTGCTCCACTCAAAACATTACAAGATTTTTTTCTTGTGTATAATTTGCGAACCGCTTTTAATTCATAATATAGAAGAGTGATTGGCAACATTGACGTCGTGACCGACTGAAACAAATTGGATGACGATAATTGCGAGAATATGTAGAGATAGCGTTTCGAAATTTGCATTTCTTAGACAGGCAATTGAATGCAAGATTAAATGTTATAGAATCAGAAATGCCAGCCAAAGTGAAAAAAGACGAATGGAATAAATCACAAATTGTATAAGATCTGGGATTTCCCACGAACGCCTCAAGAACGTAATAAAAAAAGATTGCCATCATAGAAAGAGTCGGCGAGTTACAGTTTTGGATGTACAGAATGATTCAGGTTTTGAGGTACAAACTGAAATGGATGATAGATCTCATCATTTCAATTGAAAAAGTTCATATTAACATGAGTCCGATCTAGATCAGTAGTGGATCAACATGGGTCAAAGTTCAATTATTTCTTTCTATTAATTAAAATATCTCGCTTTCTTTTGAAGATATCAATTTGACATTAGGTGTGATTGATACTTTCCAGGAATTCATAATTTTAAACATTTTAGAGATTTTTCAAGGTATTGTGTTCTTTTTCTCCCTAAGCTTTTTTGTAGTACGCTTCTCAAATTTTCCAGTAACCAAATACGGTGGATCGTTCAATTTAGAGGTTTCTTGCTTCCCAATTTTTTACCAGAAACGAACCGTTCCGAGATACATAAGCATATTCGTTCTAAAACATGTTAATTCCATCTAAATTTTTCTCTTGAATTTTATTCTTGAACTAATTTAGTTAACAATAATATACTCAAAAGAAATAGCACATTGCGCAAGGAGTTTTTTTCCGACAAGTTGAATGATATTTTATTTTCAAAATTTTTCAAATGTTATCGAAAATACAACTGGATGAGGCTTAACCAGTGGCTTAACACGAATTTTCAGCGTCGTCGATGGATTGGTCGGTTAAAAGCAACCTGACCTTCTTTCTACCCTCCCTATCCCCGCTACTGATTCAGATTGGAATTTGGTACATTTTATTGCATTAAGCGAATCATAATAGGTAAAATTAACATGTTATTGCACGAATATCTTCAGAAGTGAGCGAGATATTTCAGTCAATAGAAAAAATAATCAAACTTTGACCACCTGTATCTCCGCTATAATCAAAATGATGAGATCTATTACCCATTTCAGTTTGTACCTTGAAACCTGAACCACCCTGTATGCTTACAAAAAAGTACTTGTATCGAGAAATTATTTGTGTTGGGATTATTCGAGGGATTATTTTTGTTGAATTGAGCTAGAATATGTTGAAAATCGCATTCTTTCCACATTGATTATGACATTTTTGCTATGTGCTTGGAACTTGGAATACTATTTCACAGAAGACAATTAAAACCTCGATTAAAACATTCTGTTCGAATGTTTATTAGACCTATCATTGCCAGATTAGTGGATATATCTATACACAGTATATTATCTTTTCTCGTGATAGGATAATGTAGGTACTGTCTACTACTTGAAGGGCTCGGCACATTGAAGGTATTCAGTTGCACAAAACAGAAATTAATTTTATCTATTTCGGTCATTTCGGAATACAATGATATTTTCTTTACATTTAACATAATATTATTTCAGTAAACAGAGCAGACATTTTTGAACTTGATGACACCAGAACCTGAATAATAATAAACAGTTCACATAGCAGAAGCTTCATAATCAACAAAGATATACCTTGGTAGGGACACATCATATCATTAAAAACTGTCACTAGACTTAGACGCGGAAAAAAAGTCCCAAATTTTGTGAGATATACTCGAGATATACTGTGCTTCTCAAAAGTGCCCTCCCTTCCTTTTATCTTTGGAACGATTATATACAAGGTGTTTTTGGAATAAATGCACATATTCAGCACATCAATATGATACAGTCTAAGGAATATTCCCATGATATCAATTTTTTTTATTCTTCTAATTAACAAGAAATTTCATCCCAAGAATTGAACAGAATACGAGAAAAGAATCAAGCATGCCATTTTGAAACAAATTGAATGATTGAACACAGTGTGATTGTGCCTACAGCATGGAAATTTGAACAGAATTGACGTCAGATTTGCTACAATGTAGAACTTTGGGTGGAAAAAACGGTCTAGCCTCAAATTTTATTTTGATCCCTAAATTTTTTCATCAGTGACATTCGATAGTTCACGTCGAGCTTTCTCTGTGTTCGAAATATTCGCCCTGTATAAACGAGTGGAATTTGGAAACTGAATATCAAAGGTTGTAAACTACCCTACTAGTGATGATACATGACGAAATTGTCGAACTGTATAATTGTCAAAAAATCTGACATTATTATTAGTCTTCCTAATTCGACGTTTTTGTAATTGTCCAAGTTTTGGAATTTGTGTAGGAGAGGATACTTTTGCAGGAATTCAAAGATCATATAATTGAAAACTCTCCCTAGACCCAGACGCGAACAAAAAGTCCCAAATTTTTTAAGATACATAGGCGAATCTACTGGGATGCAGGAATCCGAAGATGAATAAGAGGTAGCAAGCAGAACCGGAAGCTAAATTTCCGCCCGGATGCGTACAATTCCTGCCGGTCCCGGAACGACCTTGGAGCTCGATCGCACGTGACCCAGTTTCCCGGACAGCTCCCACGCTCCAAATACAGATATGCGGACTTGCAACAAGAACATCAAGTATGTATATAGGTATCATATTTCCAACCATTTTCCAACAGTCTATAAAGCCATATATACTGCAGCATTCTGAGAAGATCTGTATAGCTCAAATTAACCTCAGCACAAAAGTTGATAGTTTTCGGAATACATCAGGATTTTGCAGCTTTATGGTATAATCTTTTGAAGTTTATCGCACATATCTTAATATTTAGCATTGAAAGGTGTTGTGGGATGAGAAATCGAGATCTGAATCACAGTTTTGATATACATAGCGCAGAAAGCTTCATAACTATTTTATGTCTCGGTATATTGGGTTCGTTGATTACATTTTTATTCCTTGTCATCATTTTCCCAAAAGAAGTTGAACCGTCGTTCTATACATATAGGAGCTATTTCAGAAATAATCGAAGGTTTTCAACTAATACTTCATCTATTTAGTTGTAACTCTTCCAAAGTCCATCTAGGTTTCGATATTATCAAGAATGAAAATATACACGAAGATGATTGATTGATTGTGAATTGCATTTTACAATAATTACTGTGGATTTCCATCGTGATCACCGAGTCAATGTGCACTTGTTCCAAAGGAGGAAATAAAGTTTCAGTAGGTTAACAATGAGTAGAGTTTGTGACAAATGTAAAGTAAGGAGAAGAATCATGCCTGTCACAGTTCAAAGTTCTTACCGCATTCGTAAGAAAAAACCTAACCTGACCGGTGGGGTAACATGTAGTGGGAGTGTCGACAAATACCCACTCCTCATCTAGTTTGATGGAAACGAGTTGAAAGTGTACACAGTAATTCATTCTTCAAAACAGTGGGTAGAGGCCGAGTTTGAGGCAGTGACAAACCTACTGCAGGGAAATCGCCACACCTCTATTGTCACACCCCTCATGCCACACCCCTCACGTCACACCCATTACAAAGGAGAAATATACTTTTAGCAAGCAATGATTAGAGGTTGTGAGGAATTGTACGCCTTCCACATTGCAAAATAGATTATTATACGAGTGTGAGTGTCGATATACATATCCTCCACCTCTCATGCCAGTGATAAGTTGTGGGAGTGTCGAAGTATCGCCCCGCCTTATCTTGTTAAGTGTGAATGAGTAGGGGGTGTGACCAATTCACAGTAAGGAGAATAGTCACGCGTCACACCTTTCACATTCCAAAATGGAGGTACTCATCGCATTAGTGATTTGAATGACTAGTGGAAGTGTCGATAAGTTGCCACACCCCTCATGTTAGTGGGGGTGTCTGAAAATAACCAAGCTTCAACTTGTTCAATGGAAATAAGAACACGGTGTGACAAATTTCACGCCCTCCACATTTGCAAATGAATAAACCGCCTTCGCCAAAAAATGATGAGTCGGAGTGTCGATACATATCGCCACACCTCTCCAGCCAGTAATGAGTTGGGAGAGTGACGGAGAATAGCCACGCCTCATCTCGTTCAATGGAAATGACAAGAGGGCGTGACAAAATCACAGTAAGGAGTTACGCCTTACATATTCCTAAATGGAGGTACCGCATAAGTGAAAAAAATAACTGTAGAGGAAGTGTCAATGAATGAAGCCACACCCCACGGGCGTGTCAAGAAATAACCACGCCTCATCTTCGCCAGTAGAGTAGAATGACGCACTTTTCACACGGAAAAAATCATTTGGTTACATCTAAGTACAACCAGATATCTTCTAACACTAACCATTTTTCATTGGTTCTATAGCCAGCATATCCTTATGGTTACCATTTGATATGGTGTCAGCAACGATGTGTATCTGGTTGTACCTATATTAACTTGAATAGATACAGTAACATAATTTTTCTACCGTGCAGTTTAAAGTAGAGGTACTCACGCATTAGTGAAATAAATGACTAGTGGGAGTGTCGATAAATAACGCCACACCCCTCAGGCCAGTGGGCGTGCCGAAAAATAACCACGCCTCAACGTATTCAATAAAATTGAGTAGAGGAGGTGACGAATCTTGAAGTGGCGAGAACAAAAAACACAAACTCACCTATTTTTCCGTTGGGACTGTACGGGTCGTAGCTGCCGGAAGACATCGGCGACGAGTACCCGTTGCTGATGACGGTGTACGCTTGCGAGGGCGGGCCAGGCGAGGGCGTCAAGGGCGCCCCGGGACTGGGCGCGCCCAAAAAATCATCAGCACGCGCCCTCTTCACCCCGAACCCGCCGAACGCCGCGAGTCCATTGGCACCAGCTATGGACGACGTGGCGGCCACCCCCTGTCCCATCAGGGCGCCGCTTGACGAGATGGCGAGCAGGTTGCCCACCGTGATGGAGGAGGAGGAGGTGATGGCGGAGGGGGAGTAGAGCTGGGAGGGCTCCGATTTGACGAGCAGCACGTCGTCGTCGCGAAAGATCATCTCGTGCTTGACGTCCATGGAGGGGGGCAGAGGAGGTGGTGGGGGGAAGACGGCGGTCATAGGAGGAGGAGAGGGGGGTTAGGGTCGCGAGCGGCGGAGGTGGCGCAGTGCTGACATTCTGTGGTGGTGGTGGTGGTGGGGGGTGATCTGGAACGAGAAGAAAAAAATGTATTCTGAAGGTATACTTTGGAAGAGGAAATTGTTACATACAGGAAGGTAAATGATTTTTCTAATGCAAAAAGGATACAGGACAACGTTTTGATGTGTTTACCAACAATTCGCAAGCATTATGGGAAATATAGCCCTTCAGGGATCGCTGAAATCAGCTCCAACATGTTTTTTTCAATTCTATGGCTTGACACCCTTCATTGGAAAGCTGGTTGAAATATGAATCCAACGATTCCAACGTAGTATTGACATTTCATTTTGTAGTACGAAAACAATTTCAAAATTTCATTTTTGTTTCTAAGTGATTCAGTTGAATTCATTCATTCATTTTCACCGGTTCGTAACAAAAATTTGTTTGAACAGCATTCAAACCAAATTCCAGATATCAGTTGTGATAAAACATTACTTCGAATTGTTTGTCAAAATTGAGGTCAACACACCTTTCAAGCATCTGTTACGTTAAAAATAAATTCAATTTTAAAATTAAGTTTTGATCCTATGCAACCCTCATATAAGCACTGGATTCCCTTTAACACCACCTTTCCAAATCCACAAGGCTGAATTTCAGAAAAATATGTTGAGAGTGATTTCAGCTACCCCTGAAAAAATATATTTTCTATATTGCTTGCAAAATCTAGGAAGATAAATTGAAACGTTGACGTTTGTCGGTGATATCCAGAAAAAATATTCACCTCGCTAGCGAATTAACTCCAGTTGGTCTCCACCCTGTATACATATATAGTTATAGAGACTCATACTCACACTTATTTCGTTGTCTCTGTTTTGATAACTCATTCGTGAACTATTGGACATTTTTCCTTATACTAGAGGGTTACTGATTTTCATAATTCATTCCATAAATTGAATTTATCAAATAATAAAATTCCCAAGAACCATCTAAACTTATCTAAACCAAAGTTAAATATTATGAAGATCCCTGATTTATAGTCATAATAATATTATTGTTCTAGATTCAAAGGAGAACATTGTTCCATTTTGTAGAAAATTGAAACGATGAAGGAAGAGTCGGTAAATAAAAAGAAATGAAAGTAAATATCCGATTTTAAAGTTCAATAATCAAACCCAAGCGTTTGCTTCCTGCAAGCACCTCTAACATTCCAGGAAAAATTGTCCTGCAAACTATTTTGTCACTCATTTTTACAAGAACATACAACATCCCATTTCATTTATCGCTCGGAAACACTCAGTTTAAAATCGTATGTCATGTAAATTTCCTGAAAATATATCACTCGCTTATCTTTGACATTTTGACCCCGTAAAATTTTCCAATAAATCGCGGTATCCCGTCTGAACCTGACCAACGTATCAAAACGAATTCCTACCAGAAATGTAAAAGCCCACCAAACCCCGGAGGAAAAATAACAAAGTCGCAATATACCTTCCTCCATACACCCACGACAGCCGAATTCATGGTTCACCTCCCAGGGGGGTGAAATTTGGGGGGGGGGGGGTGGGGGCGAAACAGTCTAGACAAGTACACACACCGAGGGCGGTGCACCGAGACAAGGACGAAGGTCGTGGAACTGGGAAAGTGAAACCAGCGACGCATAAAAACTGGCTCCCACATCTCCCACGAATCGACCCCCAAACGAACCCTACTGCGCCGCTCCCGAAATATAAGGCACGTTTACACGATACGCCGGACGATGTTTTCCAGATCGCCAACTATATATCTACACCTACAGGGATCAAAAGGATTCGTTGCCAATAAGATGGCTCTAGTGCAGTTTGAAGACATGAGGTTTGTTCGCGTTTTTTTTTGTTCTGGTTTCCACAAAAAGGGATATCCTGTAAGGTTCAGAGAACATCGTGAGAACCAAGGAAAATGAGGTAGGAATTCGTGTTCTTTTTAAATTTGTTCCAGAGCCCCGCTGTTCGTTGGATGAACGAGTTATGGAAAGAGATGTTCTGCAGGTCTCCAAAGTGACCACGAAGGGCTGCGAAGCCTCAACTCGACGGGTCAATTTCGTCCATGAAAATATCTATGGAATAGAGCCAGATCGCCAACTTTTCTGCGGTGTTCCAGAGAAGTGAATGAGTTTGTGAGCGAGGCATCACCCACGAGACGAATTGCCCCTTTTTGGACAGAATCCAACAGTTTCAGGGTATGTTTGGGTGCTGCACTCTGAAAATGGGAACAATATTACAGGACAGGTCGGATCTGTGCCTTATAGATCATAAGCAGCTGACTGGAAGGGAAATAGCTCCTGGCCCGAAACAGAAAACCAAGTTTTTGGTATCCACTTTTAGCATTTGATCTCACGTGATTTTCCCAAGGAAGGTTAATGCTGATAGTAATACCAAGCATCGAAATGGATGTCTTCAAAGGTATGGTTACTCCTGACAAGCTTCTGTTGGGCACAGTGAGATCGGCTTTTCTAGAGAAAAGGCATGCTTATGTTCTGTTTGCATTGAAATCTACCAAGTTATTGGATCCCCATTCGAGAATTGTTGCCAAGTCCATATTTATGTTGCCAACATTTCTCCCTCGTTCGTTTCTGATTTGCCTGGCTGGTATTGAAGCCCTGGAAGAGAAGGCGGTATGGAGGGTACTATCATCCGCGAAGCTGTGTACTGGATATGAAGTTGCTTCAACAAATCGTTGATATGGAGTTGAAATAGTGTTGGCGCTAGAATAGAAGAATCCGAAATCATCAGAAATATGCGCAGTGACAAAGAAGTGTTCGCGTTTCCTCAGGACTGTTTTGTATGCCACAGATCACAGATCACATGGTTTCGTTTAATACGAACCAGTTTAGGATAGTTTCGAATCGGTTCAATGCAGTACGAGCCTCAGGGCAAAAACTGCCCACGACTGTAGTGAATTATTTTGGATGCGCATGCGTTTATGCAACAGATTGTTAACCTTTAACTTTCAAGCGTTTCCATGTTGAGAGATACATTTTCGAACTAGAAAAAGAATGGAAAAAAAATCAATCAAGATCATGAACAATGGGCATATGAGTTCCAGCTAATCGTCCCATCTTCAAGTTCAGATGATAACAAAGGTTTTTGAATATGTTATCTGCTGGAAATTCGCATGACCATTCTGGAGAATTGAAGTGCCTACACCACAGATAATCGACGAAATGATTTAGAAGGTGCATGGCAGGAGCTCATTCAGCATTTGGCGTGAAAGAAATGTGTTTTGCTATTTCAGAATGGGAATACTGTCCCAAGAAGAAAGATTATCTAATAGAGTCACAGTGTATTATGAATTTTCCAGGTCGATCAATGCTATAACTCACTTTCAGGTCACACGAATCCTACTTATACCATTCCTGAATATCACCAAAGATATGTCCAATTAGGATTTATGTTCCAGAAACCTCATAGCTCATCTACTCTTCGGTAACTCTTCGGTCAGCGTTTCTTATTTCAAACGCCTCCCCACTCCTATATCTCAGCTACTAGTATTGCGATCTTTAGCAAATTTGGACCGGTATCAATATTATGATCACTTTTTCGAACATCACCTCAGACAGTACTGTGGTAAAATGAAATGGGGTTGATTTTTCATGAAATCATATTAGGAATTTTTTAACTGGTAAATTTTGATATGATATTCCAATAGAGGGTTTAAAAAAAAGGCACATCTAAACAGTATTTTTGCGAACGTAATAGTTATTTGTTTTTTTTCAAACCATGATTTTCCACCTACCGGAGCCATTCAATGTTCCAAAATGCAGTAAATTTGAGATCACTATTTTTTCGAGGCTGAAAATGAAAAAATGGAAACAATCCTGTTAATTTGCAATGTGGTGATTTTTTGCATATAGAGGTTTGGAAGAATGAGGAACAATAATATGAAGTTATTTTTGTTGCGAAAAAATTCCCCATATGATTTCATAAAAATCGGCCCCCTTTTGACTGATTATATTGATGGTTATCCATACCGGTTCAAATTTGGTACGAATCGCACGACTAATAGATTTTGTATTCAGCAGTCATGTTTTAGTATGGATGTGAATTTTTAGTTTCGATGTAGTTAATGAATGATTCGTTGATAGCACCTCAAGTTCAACCCTAATACCTAGAAGATGTCCAATTAAATTATGTTGTTCCAGGAGTCTGATATTTGATCTACTCTTCGGTCACTCATAATATGTTTTCGCCTGGATACAAAGTGTCGGTTTTCCATTGGTTGAAAGGATTCGTTGATAGTACCTAAGGGTTTCGTGTGAACCTAGTCATCAGATGAAGAAGGCAAGAGCTGTCGGGGGTGTTTTTTTTTTGGCGGCGGCTACGATTTGAGTCGATCAATAGTCCCAGACACAACTCGAACCTATACGCAGCAGCCTCTGGGAATGCCGAATAGGCTGGAATCCTGGATAAGGGACCAACAACTTGTTTCTGCCTTTCGAAGCGCAATATTCCAGACAATATCAGATAACCACTGAACTGAAAACATTCAATCAATAACTATCATATTGAGCGAGAATCTATTATTGTTATTCCATATAATATTTCATTTTGGAGAACGATTTCATGACTTCAATGTCTCCTTTCAGAACAACAACAATGGCCATCAAGTATTAAGTATTCACACTACTGCTGTAATTTTGCTTAGAATTCTCAGGATCATTGGGTACTCTCCTTGTTACTATAGATATAAATGTTTTTGTGTACAA